TCCTTTCCCCATTGCTTGTTTTTGTCAGGTTTGTCAAAGATCAAATGGTTGTAGGTGTGTGGCATTACTTCTGAGGCCTCTGTTCTGTTCCATTGGTCTATATCTCTGTTTTGGTACCAGTACCATCCTATTTTGATTACTGTAGGCTTGCAGTAGTTTGAAGTCAGGTCATGTGATGCCTCCAGCTTTGTTCTTTTTGCTTAGGATTGTCTTGGCTATGAGGGCTCTTTTTTGGTTCCATATGAAGTTTAAGGTGGTTTTTTTCAGTTCTGTAAAGAAGGTCAATGGTAGCTTGATGGGGATACCATTGAATCTATAAATTACTTTGGGCAGTATGGCCATTTTCACAATATTGATTCTTCCTAACCATGAGTATGGAATGTTTTTCCATCTGTTTATGTCCTCTCTTATTTCCTTGAGCAGTGGTTTGTAGTTCTTGAAGCTTCACATCCTTTGTTTGTTGTGTTACTAGGTATTTTATTCTCTTTGTAGCAACTGTGAATGGGAGTTTGCTCGTGATTTCATTGACATCGAAATATCCAAAGCAATTGGATTCAATTATTCAAAAATAATCTACTAGAAAGACTTGCCTTTGAAATAAAATAATTCCCTCTTTAAAGGTAGAGCAGTAAGCAATGTCTGAAAGGACTGGAATATATAAATTGAGAAAAATGGAGTAAATGTCAATAATTCTTAATTAGGGAGAGTTTTTAATTCAGGTATTAATTAATTTCTATATGAGAGTATGAGTGTGAAAATTTTAAAGCATAAAATTTATTTTAAAGTATATGCTTTATTTAAAGGTAGTGTACAAAATTTACACAAATCAGAAGTGCTCACCTCAATAAATTTTCACACAATGAACACACCTATAAAACCAGTGACCAGATCAAGATAAAAAAAATGTTCCAAATGCCCATCAATGATAGACTGGACAAAGAAAATGTGGTACATACACACCATGGAATACTACCCAGCCATAAAAAATGATGAGTTCGTGTCCTTTGTAGGGACTTGGATGAATCTGGAAACCATCATTCTCAGCATACTGACCCAAGAACAGAAAGCCAAGCATTGTATGTTCTCACTCATAGGTGGGTGTTGAACAACGAGAACACGTGGATTCAGGGAGAGGAGCATCACACACAGGGGACAGTTAGGGGGGTAGGGGAGAGATAATGGTGTGTAGGGAGGGAGGAGAGTGCGGGGAGGGATAACACTGGGAGAAATGCCAGATATAGTATGCACCTAAAGTAAAATAAATAAATTATAAAAGAAAAACAATGTAAAAGTGCCACCCTTAAGCCCTATTCTCCCCCACACCAATAACAGTGCCAAATGAAGTTAACTACTATCTTAGCTACAAGTATTTCAGGGTAATTTGATCTGATTGTGAATGGTATGAATGGTGTCATACAGTGTTTACCCTTTTATCAAATTTGTTTTTCTCAACATTATGTTTATCAGATTTATTTATGCTATGGCATATGGTAGTGATGATGAAAGAATATTCCATTGCTACTTCTAAAGCCTTAGCAATAGAATATTCTGTGAACTATTTTTAATAGTTCCCACAATTTTATGTATACTCTTCTCTTTCTTTGGGATTTTTCTCTCCAACTACCACAAAACCCTGAATTCTCACATATTTCACTTAAGCCTTAATCCCTCATCTAATGATAAATACCTAAATTTATTGCACAGATACTAAGTATAGGGCCCTGAGATATGGAGACTGATGAATATAGTTTCTAGGTTCTTCTTCCTTAGCCTCTTTTGAAGTTGGGTGTGGCCCTATTGCTAAATTTCAGCCAGTGGCAAGTGAGTCTGTATGATATCGAGACTTGCAGAAATGACCCAAACCAATCTCTCTCAATTGATTCTTTATATTGTTTCCTCCCAATTACCATACATGGGCATCCTGGAAGCCACCTGCTGAAGATGATGAAGGCACAAGGAAGAAGAAGGCTAGGCTCCTAAATCACTGCTCAAAGGAAAATTTTCTGCCAGCCAGGAACACTGACTCTGGGATTTATGTAACTAAGCAGCAATAGCCTTATGCTTAGTTTTGAGATATTATACACACAGGGTTTTGGTTTTGTTCTGCTCTGCTTGAAGTATGTATTTATGCTTATTTTATCTACTATAGCAGTTGGAGTCACCTTGACTAGTTTACCTGCTGCAGGCACAAATGGCTATCTGTCCGTTGATATCTCCCCTACAGGTTTCACAGGGTCCTGAAGCTTGGCAGGTCCAAAATTGAGCCTGCTTCTCTTGCCTATCCCAACTCTATTGCACCCTCTCCATTTCATGCTGTATTAGGTCATTTCAAGCTGCTATAAAGAAATACCCCAAACTGGGTAATTTATAAAAGAAAGAGTTTTAGTTGACTCACAGTTTCACATGGCTAGGGAGGCCTCAAGAAACTTACAATCATGGCAGAAGATAAAGGGGGAGGCAAGTACATTTTCACAAGCCAGCAGGAGAAAGAAGAATGAAAGGGGAACTTCCAAACACATAAAACCATTAGATCTTGTGAGAATTCACTCACTATCATTAGAACAGCACGAGGGAAACCGCCCCCATGATCCATCCACCGCCCTCCCTCGTCCCATGAGGATTGCAGGTCCCTTTCTCAACAGGGTATCACAATTCAAAGTGCAATTTGGATGGGGACAAAGGGCAAAGCCATATCATTCTCTCTGTGGCCTCTCCTAAATCTCATGTATTTTCACATTCAAAGCCAATCATGCCTTCCCAACAGACCCCCAAAGTCTTAACTCATTTTAGCATTAACTCAAAAGTCCACTGTCCCTTTAGCTTCATCTTCTGACACCTTTTCCAGACACCCCACTCCGAATGCCCTGCTTCAGGATGACTCACTCAGCCCTGGGTCTCTGCTGTGCTAGTGGGTATGTCCTAATGTGGTTTACCTGCAGACTTTGCTTATTCTGTGTTCGCTGCCTGGCACACTCTGCATCATATTGTGAGCCCCTAGGGCATCTACTCAGAGCTACCCTTTACCAAGATCTCCTTACTTAGAGGGAAGCCAAGGTGCTGTGGACCAAATTGTGTGTTCATACATTAAGCCCTAACCCCCAAAGTGATGGTATTTAGAGGTGGGGCCCGTAGGAGGGACAAGGATTAGGTGAGTTCATGAAGGTGGACACCCCTACGATGGGATTTATAAAGAAAAGATGTAATGAGTTAATAATGGGATTTGAGATGAGAGAGAAAGACTGAATCTCCCTCCTTCCCCTATAAGGAAACACAGTGAGAAGCCTGCACTGGCAAGCCAGGAGCAGAGCCCTCACCAGAAGCAGCCCTACCAGCACTCTGACCCTGAACTTCCAGCCTCCAGAACTAGGAAGAATACGCTTCTGTTGCTTAAGCCCCCAGCCTACGTATTTGTTATGGCAGCCTGAGCTGGGCCTAGAATTGTGCCTAGAATACAATGAATTCTTTGTGAACATTTGGCTTTTATTTATTTTAAGTATTTATATTCTATTTTGTGTCACATTTTCACATTGGAATTTGAGACACTATTAAAAACCTAAGCCAGTACAATATGTTTGATGTTATTATTAACTTGAAGAAAATGCTCTTTATTTGCATTGTTATTATTTTTCAGGGCCTCCTTTACTTACAGAGGTTGGCAGGGGAACATTCAGCACAGCACGCCTGACTCCACTGAACCCTGAGTTAATGGACCCTGAATGAGACTTCAGTACATGAAGTTCCTTCTATCTTGGAAACAAGATGATGGACATATTAATAGCACACTTACAGCTTTTGAGGCTGAGGATTCAGGTTAAGTTAATTGCTTCAAACCCCCAGTAATTTAACCTACAGGAAAACAATCACATTTGTAATAGCAGTGTTAAATATAGTCGTGTTTACCTTAAGACTTTAGGTAGTGTTTTTATACAAGATGAGAGAAAATCATGACAAATACAATGGCAGTGAAGATTAAACATCAGTAAAATAAAAAGCACATGCAAGAGAGAACAAAAACACTAATAACCAATTAAATCAGATCCAGGAGAAAGCCAGCTATATATTCTTGCTGGGACTGAAACAAAAATGAGAAGGTGATGTAATGAAGTTAAGAGGTGGTCAATAGCTGAATGCATCCTAGGCCACTTACAAAACCAGAAACTCTCAGCCATAGGAGAATGTAGATGCCATTTTTCTTTTCTTTCTTTTCTTTTTTTTTTTTCAAGAACAAAACAAGTTTATTTGGATTTGGAACTCTGAACAGTTCTGTGTCTATTACCTTTGGCTCCGGCTTCGGCCCCTATTTCTTCTTCATCTGCTCTGTGAACTGTGCCTCTCCCGACTCTGATGTGTGTTTGTGAGACTTATTCCCCGTGTGAGTACTCCTGTTCCTCCTGGATTCCCCGTTTCTTCTGCAGGAGCGGTGTGGGATTGCGTTTCTCCTTCCCCGCAGCCTGCTGCAGTATTCGTCCCAGTCGCCCACCCACCCCCTCCTCTCAGAGTTCTTGCCAGAGGAGGAGCCAGTCCCATCTGGAGACCGGCAGACGCCTCTATGCACTTCCCAGAATCCACTGTTGGGACTTCTGAACACATGAAGAAAGTCACCGTGTTTTCCTCTTGGACGTTGCTGTATTTCAAATAAAGCACAAATCGCCATTCTCCACCAGGTCACGGAGCAGAATTCACACTGAAGCCGTCTTCCAGCATACAACAGAGAAAGGGCAGCTTGGCACCCTCGTTCCGACTGGTACTGAACGTACGGGTTGCCCTCAGGTGAGGTTTGCAGCTGACCTTGAACTGAATCACTCTCCCCACGTTCTCGAACTCGGGCAGCACATCCTCATAGACATCTAGGAACTGCTGGTAGGTTTCTTCCTTGCTGCCTTCCAGGCTGGCGTCAGGGCCACGGTCATCCCTCCCGCGCTGCTCCATCCCAAACGCTGTGAACCTGCCCTTAACAAGAAGGGTAGGACCGGATATTGGGGAATTATGTCCACATGAACGTCTATCTCCAAATCTGCAAGCTCCTGTTCTACTGCAGAAGGGACAATTAGCTCGATCCTTCTCCATGACTCTGAAATCCACGGGTGGTTCTGGGTTTTGCCAGGTGGAGCCATTTTCCAACTCATTTTCAGCCTGATCCAGCATCTTCAACACAGCTTCCTCTTTCTTCTCCTGTCTTTTCTGGTCCTCCTCTTCTCTCTGTCTCCTCTGTTGCTCTTCCCATTGTTCTTTTTTTTTTTTTTTTGCACAGATAGGCATTTTTTATTGCATTTTAGGTTTTGGGGTACATGTGAAGAACATGCAAGATTGTCGCATAGGTACACACATAGCAAAATACCTAGGAATACAGCTAACAAGGAATGTAAAGGACCTCTTCAAGGAGAACTACAAAACACTGCTCAATGAAATAAGAGAGGACACAAACAGATGGAGAAACATTCCATGCTCATAGTTAGGAAGAATCAATATCGTGAAAATGGCCATACTGCCCAAAGTAATTTACAGATTCAACACTATCCCCATCAAGCTACCAATGACCTTCTTCACAGAACTGGAAAAAAACACCTTAAACTTCATATGGAACCAAAAGAGAGCCTGCATAGCCAAGTCAATTCTAAGCAAAAATAACAAAGCAGTAGGCATCACACTACTGGACTTCAAACTATACTACAAGGCTACAGTAATTAAAACAGCATGGTACTGGTACCAAAACAGAGATATAGACCAACGGAACAGAACAGAGGCCTCAGAGGCAACACAACATATTTACAACCATCCAATCTTTGACAAGCCTGACAAAAACAAGCAATGGGCAAATGATTCCCTGTTCAATAAATGGTGTTGGGAAAACTGGCTAGCCATGAGCAGAAAGCAGAAACTGGACCCCTTCCTGACACCTTACACTAAAATTAACTCCAGATGGATTAAAGACTTAAACATAAAACCTAACACCATAAAAAACCTAGAAGAAAATCTAGGCAAAACCATTCAGGACATAGGCATAGGCAAGGACTTCATGACCAAAACACCAAAAGCATTGGCAACAAAAGCCAAAATAGACGAATGGGACCTACTCAAACTCCACAGCATCTGCTCAGCAAAAGAAACAGTCATTAGAGTGAATCGGCAACCAACAGAATGGGAAAAAATTTTTGCAGTTTACCCATCTGACAAAGGGCTGATATCCAGAATTTACAAAGAACTAAAACAGATTTACAAGAAAAAAACTAACAAGCCCATTCAAAAGTGAGCAAAGTATAAGAACAGACACTTTACAAAAGAAGACATACATGAGGCCAACAAACATATGAAAAAATGCTCATCATCACTGGTCATTAGAGAAATGCAAATCAAAGCAACATTGAGATACCATCTCACGCCAGTTAGAATGGCAATCATTAAAAAATCTGGAGACCACAGATGCTAGAGAGGATGTGGAGAAATAGGAACACTTTTACCCATTGTTCCTTTAACGTTCTGTCTTGTTCTTGCCATTTGCTAGCTGCCTTTTCCTTCTCCTTTATTCTGAATTCTTGTTGTGTCTTCTGCTCTCTCAGTAACCACTCATGTAATCTTTGCCTCTTTCTTTCCAATAGCTTCTCTTCTCCTAGTTGCTGTTCTTCAATAAAACCCCTCCCCCTCCCCCCTTCCCCTCTTCCTCCTCCTTCCCCTCTTTCCCCCTCCCACTGCCCCTTCCTCCCTTCCACTCCTCCTCCCCTTTACCTCCCTTTTCCTCCCTCCCTCTTCCCCCTCCCCCTTCCTCCTTCTCCCCCTCCCCTGTCCCCCTCCTCCCCCTCCTTCCCCTTCCCCTTCTCCTTCCCCTTCTGTGAGAGTCCTGAGCCTCTCAGTCCAGCAAGTTCCTGCCAACGTTTCTTTGGTTTCTCTTTCTGCAAGGCGGCTCTGTACTTTTTGTGGCATGGTTTCTCTGGAAACGTCACCTTCTGGGGCACAGCCATCTTGCCGGCTCCCGGATGCCATTTCTTTACCAAACATGAGGGAAGCAAGGAAACCAGAATGGCTCACAAGATCTCATCCTTGCAAAGGTACCCACAGGAGATGTGGACATCCTTTGTCAGGAAACAATCAGTACTAGCTCTATTTCAGGTATACAAAATGAGAATTCTGCCACAAACTTCTTGAACCAGAAACAGCAGATATAGTCAGCCTCTGGATAGCCTACATTAGAAACAGCAGAGATTAATCCCATCACCTTGCTTCCCCACAAAAATGTCATTGTATGAAAAGAAGTAAAGAGAAAACTTCTCCAACCCGAGATTCCCTGTAATTTTTTTTTTTTCCGAGACAGAGTCTTGTCCTGTTGCCAGGCGCCAGGCTGGAGTACGGTGGCACAATCTTGGCTCACTGCAATCTCCGCCTCCTGGGTTCAAGCAATTCTCCTGCTTCAGCCTCCCGAGTAGCTGGGACTACAGGCGTGCACCACCATACCTAGCTAATTTTTGTATTTTCTAGTAGAGATGGAATTTCGCCATGTTGGTCAGGATGGTCTTGATCTCTTGACCTCGTGATCCGCCCGCCTTGGCCTCCCAAAGTGCTAGGATTACAGGTGTGAGCCACCACGGCCGGCCTTCCTGTACTTTTTTATTTTCTCTCCCTATTGTTTGTTTTATGTGGTGGTGGTGGTGGTGGTGGTGGTGTTTGTTTTCATTCCAGTTTGAACCAGAGTCGCGTTTGCTTCCTAATCCAGCGCTTGGACATTTCTGTCTTCCAGGATAATTGTTGTTAATAATTGCTGTGGATAATTATCTAACTTAGGGAGATATCTACATGAACCCTTTCTTTTTTCTGTGACATGGTGCTGAAGGGCATGAGCTGCCTGGGAAGTCTATAAAATGAGATGACCCTTATATCCTCAATTGCTCTTCAAACAGTCTTTGATATGCAACAACCCTTTGCCCCTTCCTGAATCAGCCCTTTCTCCAAACATTCCCAGGTCACAGCGCCGGCAGTAGTACCCATGGGACAGGATAAAAGGAAGAATCCGTTTTATATATGAGAAGAGGTATGTTATTTCATTTCTTCTCTTGAAGTTTTTTCTTTGGTTGGTTTAACCACTAAAGATAAGCTTTGAACTTAATGAGCCTTTTATTTGATATAAGTAATGTTTCATTTTTACATGATTCATCTAGACTCAGATTAATTAAATAAGCATAATCTTCTATTTAATTACTGGATATGTTTAGGCAATTAAATTTTGAAGAGAAGAATTGGTATTGTGTAGGCTACTTTATCTCATTTTTAAATTGACTGAATATTTTTTCTCTGTCAGACTGCAGAATATTGTATATACTTTTCATCAATAAGTTAAGATAATTTTCTATAACAAATTTTCACAATAAGTTTTGTCCCATGAGCAGGTGGCTCCAAATCCTTCATCACTGACTCTGGTGCCCTACTTCCTTCCCCTCAATTCATTCCTATGGTTTCTTGGGAAATTCCTTAGGAGCAATTGACTGAGGAAGTAGAGACTCAAGCCTTGTTTACAAATGGTTCTGCATAGTATGCTGGTAACACTACCAGGCCACTCAAGGTCCCCTCTGAAAATTGGAGGAGGCCGCTTTTCCCTCTTAGCTTCTACACAGCACCAGCCTTCAACCTAGAAGCCCAGAAGCTCTAAGACCTACTCTGGGTCTTCAGTGTTCTCAGGAGGCTTGGGAGGTAAGAGGGTTTTCCAGAGGCTGTGCAGGCAGAGTATAGGTCACTGAGAAATTACCCAGAGAGAAGGGAAAAAGGGCAAACTTGTAGGTTTATGGGGACACACAGGATTCCCTGTAAGGACTGCCTTAGATAACTGGAAGTCCTTGAAGAAAAGATAGATGACATCATTATTTCAAAAGTCATGTCACTGCCCAACAACTATTTCCTGTGATCTCCTGGTTGAGATGCCTTACACCATTCATGCAGATGGGTCACTACTTCTCCTAATTAAATACATGCATGTTCTCGGCATCTTTCATAATTCCAGAGTGGCTTTAAGGACCTCTTCAAGGAGAACTACAAACCACTGCTCAAGAAAATAAGAGAGGACACAAACAGATGGAGAAACATTCCATGCTCATGGTTAGGAAGAATCAATATTGTGAAAATGGCCATACTGCCCAAAGTAATTCACAGAACTGGAAAAAAACACCTTAAACTTGATATGGAACCAAAAGAGAGCCTGCATAGCCAAGTCAATTCTAAGCAAAAAAGAACAAAGCTGGAGGCATCACGCTACCTGATTTCAAACTTAACTACAAGCCTACAGTAATCAAAACAGCATGGTACTGGTACCAAAACAGAGATATAGACCAATGGAACAGAACAGAGGCCTCAGAGGCAACGCCACACATCTACAACCATCTGATCTTTGATAAACCTCACAAAAACAAGCAATGGGGAAAGGATTTCATGTTTAATAAACGGTGTTGGGAAAACTGCCTAGCAGTGTGCGCAAAGCAGAAACTGGACCACTTCCTGACACCTTACACTAAAATTAACTCCAGATGGATTAAAGACTTAAACATAAGACCTAACACCATAAAAACCCTAGGAGAAAACCTAGGCAAAACCATGCAGGACATAGGCATAGGCAAGGACTTCATGACCAAAACACCAAAAGCATTAGCAACAAAAGTCAAAATAGACGAATGAGACCTAATCAAACTCCACAGCTTCTGCACAGCAAAAAAAAAAAAAAACAGTCATTAGAGTCAACCAGCAACCAACAGAATGGGAAAAATTTTTTTCAATCTACCCATCTGACAAAGGGCTAATATCCAGAATCTACAAAGAACTAAAACAGATTTATAAGAAAAAAAAAACCCATCCAAAAGTGGGTAAAGGATATGAACAGAACACTTTTCAAAAAAGAGATATATGAGGCCAATGAACATATGAAAAAATGCTCATCATCACTGATTATTAGAGAAATGCAAATCAAAACCACATTGAGATACTACTTCATACCAGTTAGAATGGCGATCCTCAAAAAAATCTGGAGACAACAGATGCTGGAAAGGATGTGGAGAAATAGGAACACTTTTACACTGTTGGTGGGAGTATAAACTAGTTTAACCATTGTGGAAGACAGTGTGGCACTTCCTCAAGGATCTAGAAATAGAAATTCCATTTGACCCAGCAATCCCATTACCGGGTGTATATCCAAGGGATTATAAATCATTCTATTATAAAGACACATGCACATGTATGTTCATAGCAGCACTGTTTACAATAGCAAAGACCTGGAACCAACCCAAATGCCCATCGATGATAGATTTGACAAGGAAAATATGGCACATGTATACCACGGAATACTATGCAGCCATAAAAAACAATGAGTTTGTGTCATTTGTAGGGACATAGGTGAATATGGAAACCATCATTCTCAGTAAACTGACACAAGAACAGAAAATCAAACACCACATGTTCTCACTCATAGGCAGGTGTTGAACAATGAGAATGCATGGACACAGGGAGGGGAGCATCACACACTGAGGTCTGTTGGGGGGGCCAAGTGAGGTACAGCAGGGGCATAGGGAGGTCAGGGAGGGATTACATGGGGAGAAATGCCAGAGGTAGGTGATGGGGGAATGGAGGCAGCAAACCACATTGCCATGTGTGTACCTATGCAACAATCCTGCATGATCTGCACATGTACCCCAGAACCTAAAGTACAATTAAAAAAAAAAACGACAAAGATTTTTTATATAAAAGATAATTTTCCCCTAACACTGGTGAAGGTATTTGGAAATGAGAAGGAAATATAAACTGAGATACTGTTTCCAAAGAGTAATTTAACAATCAAATCAAAAGCCTCAAGTGTGTGCCAGACACTGGCACTGTAACTTCATTTATTGGAAATGTCTTAAGACAGATCATTTTCATTTATGGGAAATGTCTTATGATAGTCATCACAGTGTTGTTTGTAATGAAACACTCGGAATCCACTTAACTTCCCACAAGCATAAGCTGGACATTCCTGACATTGGAACCGCTTAATGTGATGAAGAATATCCAACAATCTGTTGTATGGAACAAAGTCATGTAGAATGTTAAGAAAGGAAAAACAAGTTAAAGTATATTCAATTCATATTTTTAAAAATACGTATATATGCCTAATAATATAAACAGCCTCACTGGAATAGCCACATTCTTGAATATCAATTTGCCTTGTCTGCAGCACCATGCACAGACTTACAGAATTCTTATCTATCAGCATGCTATTCTGTACAATAATGCTTTTGATCTGGAACTTACTTCACAACAATAACTACAGCAATGGGCTTATATGCATAGAATTAACTGGTCTTACTTGGAAGCTGATGGGCTAATTGTACAGTGGGATGGTTTGCTAGGGACTCTGTTATGGTACCAGTAGAGCACAATGTCCAAAGCAAATGGCATTCTGTCTTACAAAATGTGATCTATTTTTTGAATTGGAGGTCACTATATGATATTCTCTCCTCCCAAAGGCAGAATACATGAGTCTAAGAATCAAGATCTAGAAGGTGGTCCATCTCGTCTCAAAATTATTCCTAATAGCCAACCCACAAAAGCTTTGCTTTTTGTCCCAGATATCTACTGGTTTTGAGGCCTTGTTTCCTAAAGGGTGAGAATACACTGCATTGAAACATGACACTGCTATCTGGACATTTTGGTCTTTTTATGCCAACAGAGAAAAAAATGAAGTTGCTCTGCCCCATGGAGTAATTGATTCTTATTATTGAGGAAAAAATTCATTGCTGCTACTAATGGAGGGTAAGGAAGACTGCGTCTAGAACCCATAATGGTTCTCAGGGCTAAGGCTTAGTACTCCCCATTATCAACATTAAAAGTTAATGAAAAAGTATAGTAATCAAAATAGAATTTTTGAGTATCAATATTATACAGGATTTGGGGCACTCCACTAGAAAGGGAACCTTGACCAGCTTTTGTTATGGCTGAAGGAAAAGGAAAC